AGAAGTATTGGGAGCATAAGCTTTCGTGGGAGCTTATGCTCCCAATACTTCTGTTAGTCTTAAAGGTGCCACAGGACCCTCTGTTGCTTTTTTACAGATTCAGACTAACACGGCTATCCCTCTGATACTATCATATTACGTTGGAGCTCTGCTTAAATTTAAGACTGGGCTTCATTTATACAGTTCTGATCCTGAACTTCAGAGGCACTCAGATCTCAGGTTTGTTCAGTCCATTACAGGAAAAGAAACAGTCATAAATCTCGGATCTGGATACCCTCAATTTGGAGGTCAGGAGATGTTCTAATCTGGGATTTTGGAGCTGCCTCATTTCCACTTTAAACTAACCAAAAAGGTAACTTGAAACTCACAAATTTATTGGTTGTTGGTCTATGCAAGGAAACATCTCGAGCAGCACCATCAGTCATCCTTCCTACATCTTCCAGAAAACGATAATCTAAATATACAAAGAGCAGGAAGAAAAGTGTAATGTTGGTTTAAAAAAGAAGATGGGGTGAAGTTTACATAGCAGAGAAATTCTTACCACTTAGGAGATTCAACTCGCTAAACTCATTTATGGAGACAAATGCTGCCTTCTCTCGGATTCCATTACAACTCAGTGCAGTTTTGTGCTTTTTCACACACGCCAAACTGAAAGTACAGAGAAACATGAGCATCCTGTCTCTAGCATACAAGAAACCAAACAAGAGAAAATTCAAATTGTATATACCTGCATGAGTATTTCATGCAACGTGGACACCTGTACTTTGCTTCCTCTCCACTACAGGTTTCACATCTGAAAGAAAAAAAAGGCATTTCATTTGCATTAAAGTAATGCATTTGTGTTTGTACGTAAAAGACTGGTTTTCTTTACATTTAACCAAGCCTGGGTCATAATTCTGAGAAACGATCACTGAAGCTTAAAAGCAGGGAAAGGAAATATGAATGCCTCAGCAAAGCATTTATTTCACTAGGAGGGTGGTGAAACACTGGAATGCGTTACCTAGGGAGGTGGTGGAGTCTCCTTCCTTGGAGGTTTTTAAGGCCCGGCTTGACAAAGCCCTGGCTGGGATGATTTAGCTGGGAATTGGTCCTGCTTTGAGCAGGGGGTTGGACTAGATGACCTCTTGAGGTCCCTTCCAACTCTGATATTCTATGATTCTATGAAAGCGAGTAGTTTCCAAACATTTTCACAGGGTGAGCCACAGATCAATACAGGGGGAGATTTTCCTAGAAACAAAGGGAAGGGAGGAACCAAGACCCAGCTCCTCAAAGGTACAGGTGCTTAACTCCATTCAAATCGATGGGAGCGAGGTGTCTAAATACCTTTGAGGGTCTGGGCACAAACTGCCACTCAGAGTCAAAGGGGGGCGTCTAACTCCCCTCTGCAGGAACCCACCTCGGGGGACACTCATTGGCTGTCGTCCATTAGCCCGCCTCCTGGGAGGAGGTCAACCAGTGACGGACGCGAGGACAACGCTCGCTCCGCCCGTCGGAGCTGAGGGTCGGGACAAAGGTGACACCCTCGCGCCCTGTCCCCGCGAGGGGAGAGGGCACAGGGCAGCCTCCCCGGCACGGGGCGCGAGGGTGAGACAAGCGGCGGCGCCGCGGCTTCCCCCGGGCCTCGGAAAGGGAGTAGCGGGACACCCTGCCCGACGGGCAGACGAGGATCTGCGGAGCCGAGGCTCCGGGCTGCTCCTACCCGTGCAGCGCCATCTTCCGCTTGCCGCAGGCCAGCCCCGGGCTCCCCGCCGGCCCGCTCGCCGCCTCGGCTCCCTGCTCCATCCGAGTCCCAGCCACACGCGCTCCGCCAGGGGTCACGTGAGCCGTGTTCCTCCCGACTGGCGTGCACAGCGTGGCGGCGTTTTGCGCCTGCGCTGCGGGATGGCGGCGGGTGACCGCCCTCTGGCGGCTGCTTGGGAGAGCGCCGCTGTTTCCATGGAGACCTGGAAACTCCTCCCTGCGGGGTGGCTCTGCCCCCCCATCCCCAGCCTGCTCCCGGGGGGCGGCTTTGCCCCCTCCCACCCCAAGCCGCTCCCACTGGTGGGCCGGGGCCTCTCCAGCCTACTCCCGTTGGGGTGGGGCCGCTGACACACATTCCCATGCAGAGATGTTTAACCGTCCATACCCCCGCGCATCCCTGCCTGGGCCACCAGGTTGCACCTGGAGGTTAATAATTCACCTCAATTCACCTGGGGGGGTTGTGGTCCCCGATGGGGCAGGTTGTGCCGTTAAGTTTCATGCAGTCCCAAGCAGGGTTGCCGAGAGCGGGTTCGGGCCCTGGTGAAAAAATGTTTTTGAGCCCCCCCAGCAAGGGCGGACCGGCTGAACAGGGCCGACGAGGGGCGGGCGAGAAGCCAGGCCCCGGGCCGCCCTCTGGACCGCCGGGCCCCGGTAAGGCAACGGGGAAGCCAAGCCCCGGGCCCTCTTCCGGACTGCCGGGCCCCGGTAATTTGTACCGGCTTCCCCCCCCTCGTCGGCCCTGGTCCCAAGCCTGGAGCTCAGCGCTCTTGCATGGAACATGGCAAGGTAGACTATGGCTCTGAGTGATCACCTCCCAGAGAGGATACAGAAGTTAATTTCACTGATGCACATGTGGTTTTCTCTGATTGGGAAATATCCCTGGTATACAATGGGCAGACTGGGGATGATATTGCTTTAGCTTTTTAATTTTACCTATAACCAGTGAGGGTTTTGTTTGTTTGTTTTAAAAATCTGGTCACTGTGTGTGGGCTGTGCTGTTGCACTAATATAAGCACTGCTGGATATTTGGAAAATTCTTTGACCTAATTAAGAGCTGTTACTTTTCTGGCTGGATTTTGATATTTAGAGATAATGGTCCAAATTCTACTCAAAGTAAACCCAGAGTAACCCCATTGATTTTAGTGCAGGTAAATGGTTTGACTGAGAGCAGCATCAAACTCAGTGGTTCTAGGATAGCATATGTTACACTCTGTCAGTTGGGCAATGAAGGGGCCATAGATTCCAGTGTCACTAGTGAGCCCTAAATGGCAAAGGTGGCCACCTAGGCCTTAGAATGTAAATGATCATATGATAAACATCCTGCTTAGTTCACTTGGTCTGGGATTACATTTCTAAACATGGACTGGTGTATCCCTCCATTTATGTGGGCAGAGGGGTGGAAACCCACCCTGCTTTATGGCATTCTCCCCCTAAACCTAGAGAACACCCTTTGTAGTGATAGGGGTTTACAGATTAGCAGGCAGCATGCCAGAATGAAGTCATGTAGTTCCTATCCAGAGCAGGTTTTCTTCAAGTTCCCTGCCATTTAGACCAGCATTAACTCCATATGGCGTGGGCTATTTGTGCAACTGCAGTGGGAGCAGGCTGTACTCTCATGGTAGAGTAGGTTGATGGTGGTTGTGTAAAGATTTCCAAATCTGTGTGGAGATCTGCAAGGGTTGGGTTTCCATTTGCAACAAATCCCTTGCCTAAACAGTTAGGCTGATTTCTTTCTCATGTTGATGAGGTGGCATGCATCCCTCACCGAGATACATACTGTATTTTTTCCCTACTCTGATGTGCTTCTCTTCATGAGGTGACATTTGGTTATAGGTATTATTTGAACCTATTAAATACGTATTATTTTGGGTTTGATTCTTTGTTTCCTACATTTGCAGAGGTGTAACTAAGGCCAGAATGTGAGGACAATAGGGTTGTGTACATGTAATTTACAGCAGCTATTGGCCTATAGAATCTCGATTACTAGAAGTGACATGTCAGAAACTATCCAGCTTGACTTTGAAAATTCAGGCTGCAGCAGAGCGGAGTGTGCAAAACCAGACTTGTTTGGGTTTGTACAGGTGACAGAGAAACCCTCTTCTTATTTGTAAATGAACAAATGTGATACAAAAATCAGCTAGAGCTCCACAGTGCCTTTTTCACAGCTACTTTTCAGAGTAGTACTGCGCTTTAAATGTTTACTGTTTCTCATATTCTATTTGTTATATTAGGTTACAAGTGTTAGAGACAGAAAAAAATCTATTAGGTCAGCCAGTCACTGCTGACTCAGTCAAGAGAGGCAATACTTTACGTAACATGAGGAATCAGAGGAGTCCACCTCTGCTGGTAAGTTGCTTAGCAAAGCTTAAAACAAAGTAGAGCAGGGGTTCTCAAATTGGGAGTTGGGACACCTCACGGGGATGCAAGGTTATTACATGGGGGGTCGCAAGGTTATTACATGGGGGGGTCGCGAGCTGTCAGCCTCCACCTCAAACCCCGCTCTGCCTCCAGCATTTATAATGGTGTTAAATATACTAAAAAGTGTTTTTAATTTATTATGGGGGGTTGCACTCAGAGGCTTGCTATGTGAAAGGGGTCACCAGAACAAAAGTTTGAGAACCACTAATGTAGAGGTTCTGTCTGGCTTTTTATATTGTTAGAAATATATTGAAGATATTTTTGGCACAAGACACGCTCTTCCTTAATGAAAACTTCAAACTATTACACATTCCTTTATTTTAATGATGTTTGGGGAGGAGGGGTTCATAGTTGCTTGGCTGGACTGATTCTGTGTTGCCTAGAGCAATTTGAAGTATTATCATCAAAAGAAGTAGAGATTTAACCTTCTTATTTGAATTGAATTGTGTAGGATGGGCCATTAAAGTGGCTCATTAGGGTTTCCCACTCTCTCCCCCTCCAATTTTATTGATGCAGAATAACCATTTTAGAGCATCAGCTATAAAATTCAGGAATGCATATATATGCTAATCTAAAGAATATACACATATAAATAACTTCTTACCATTTAAGGATGCTTGTTTTTTAACACAGCACTGTCCTTATGAGATACCAGCATTAAAAATGCATTAAACATTAAAAAATTAAGTGAAAATGAGAATAAGGTTGATAAAAGATAAAAAAGCCACAGCATGTTGTAAAAGAGTACATTCTTACAAAAACAAATGGCAGTAACATGATCTCAGTGGAAAGTCAAACTAAGAGCACATGTGAAATGGTTAACTGTCATAATATTGCCTTTAAATGCTGAAATGACAATGAAAAATCTTCTCTGAACCATCTCTTCTTTTCTCTTTTTCCCCTTAATTGATCATTCTATATCTTGATTTGCTTCTTTAGATTACTCAAAGAATATGCACACTTTAAAGAAATCCATAATTTGAGGAAAAATGCTACTTCAGCCCCAGATTTAGAATTGGAGATTCTACATATTTGTCTTGTATAAGGAAATGTTCTATGTTATTTGTGCAATATCCTGTAACACCACAAATATGCATGTGTTTCCCTTTCTAATACAAATATTTATCAAATAAGAGACTCTGAACAGCCTTTTCATGGTTGCTGAAAATGAACAATACAAGGAAAGGGAATCAAAATAATAAAAGATAAACAGTTATTTTAGAAGCACATTTTATTATAGATGAGTAAGCATGACTTACTATGGATAAAGATGATTTAAATGAATTGCTGTTTGAACACTCTCCCTCCCCCCAAATATGAGGTATAATCTTGCTCTGTATTACTGTACAAACACTGCTTTGACAACAGATATAGGCAAGCAGTTTGCAAAATCTTTTAGAGTAAATGTTTTGTCTTAATGATAAAAGTGTATTTTGTTCAACAACTGAGGGTCAAATACTTTTAGACTCAATAAAATAAGTGAAACAGTGTCTAGTAATATTGCAAAGAAATGGAATTTCTAAGTTGCTGAAATAATTATGATTATAACTTAGCAGCCATTCAAAACATATGCTGTATTAAAATTTTCAACAAGTTACAAAATATATACACAATACATCATCTTAGATGCTATTGGGTGTTTAAAATAGTTAACTGCAGTCCAGAAACTAAACCCCAAAACTATTGTATGTAGCTCTTCTACAACAATCTTTACAATGGCTAACAATTAGTTGTCCTGCCTATAAGCACCATATACAATGTGCTGTCTGGTATACCACTTCCACAAGAATAAACAAACATTTTAATCAAAAATTTCACATAAATAATGTTTTTACTTGTAATGAAGTATGTGACCAAACAATTTAAGATAAGTACTTTTACAACAGAAACATATCTTGATGTAACCAGCACATACAGTCTGCAAGAGAAAAAGGGAATCAAATAATCTTTACTAAAGCCACAAGCACCTTGTGTTATAAAGAGCACCAGAAATACAAACAGGAAACACGTAAGAGGTAGTGTACCATCTGTTAAGATGTATGTGTCCAAAAGGACTATAATACAACTTAGTGTTTAAGAAAAGACAACTTCTTGTATTGTGGCATAATTCACTCTCATACACAAGCTATTGCACATTTGGGAGCATTAGCCAGTATTGCTCCTTACTACTGTATGTCTCCAGCTTTCCTTAGGATGTCCTGTACAGTGTTGTTAAATAGGTTATTAAGAATACTAGCGGTCCTGAAGAATTTTATGTTTAGATATATAGTTCTCAGTTCCAGGGAAATATACAAGAAAGCACCAACCAATATTTAAAAAAATTAAATACTTTAGCAATGTCGTCATAGTCTTTTTTTTTTTTTAAATGCCATTTCTCCTTCTTAGGAGGAAGTCTTTTTCTTCCTGAGATTCTTTAAGATATAACCAACAATTTGCTTTAAAATTCTTCCACAGTTTCATAATGATTTAATCTTTAATTCATTTTTGTTTTAAAAAGATGCTTTTTCCGTGCAACAGTTCCATGGTGTTGTGAGACACCAGAATCAGGTCAGGAAGCTTAGAGAAAGCACACTGAACCACTTTCTATGTTATGCTGTTGTCCTGGTTTGAGATGAGGAAGCGTATGCACTTGAACAACCGGAAGGTCAGTAGTGTCCTGAGTGTGAAAAAGGAACTCTGTCTTATGCCAGCTGCCATCTTGGATCTGCAGTTCACGGAATTAGAGAGAGCATTAAATGCATATCAACTATCAATTTCAAAACACAGAGAGAATCTAGAAATCAAGGAACCAGAGAAGCAAATGAACAATCTGTTCTCTTGTCAATACATGTAACATTTGTGTGGTTTTTTTCAAAGGCCATCTCCCAATCCACTGAAGAAAGAACATCTGTCAAAATTCTAACTTGCTATAAAGCTTGATGAGGACTTGAACTATGAGACTAATACATATCTGTATTGCCTAGGCTTCAGTTTGGATTTAATATGCATTCTTAAGACTTATGGGGAAATCAGCGACGTTTTTTGTCATGAACTTTGGTTATTTGAATTTTTAGAAAATCTCAATAAAAACTGTTACCTTATAAAAAAATATAAAATAACAGTATAACATTGTTTGGGGATGTGGGAGTCTTGATGTTTGCAGTCACTCCTTTCTTGCCCAACCTGTCAAAGCAGCAGGTACAGTGGAGACCGCTGAAAAGTGAAATCCCTGCAGGAAGGGATATGTGAGATTCTGCAGGAAATCTGTACAGTACATAGTTTCCTGAAGAGAAAGAGAGATATCTCATAGAATCTCACAGAAAAACTACACTTTTCAATAGCCATCACTGCGTGTCTTACCTTCTTCCAGAACAAAACCCCAAATCTGCCATACTTTTATAAATACAGGGCCTGATTATTCACTGCTTTTCACTTTTTGCAGTAATTTATACCAGTGCAAAGTGCTACAGGTCTAAGTGTGTTGAAAATTCTCATTTGGTAACATTTTATACCCACTTAATACAGTTTCCAGTTTGAAAAGCACCTGTCATCATGCCATTTGTCTGCACACAAATCTCCCAGTGAATTTGAAAGAGTTCCCTGGAATGATGACAGGATAAGGCTACGTCCTTTGTTCTCTTTAGCAAAGTATAGAATTGGATATTTTAGGCTCTCTGTAATAAAAATACAAATTATCGCTACAAGAGTCAGTGGTAAAGGCAACATCTTGCCTGTTAATGGGGTTGATCTAATAATCATTGGAAATTTATTAGATTTTTCCAAGTTCAAAAACATTTATTTTACCCAGTGAAAGTTTGTCCATCATCAGTTTATTACATAAGTAGACAATTGCCCTGTAACTAGTGAAGTTAATGACAGTCAGTCATCAAAAGATTAACTTGTAAAGCCTGTAATGAACTTGCCCTTTTCCTGCAGTTTGGTTTCATTCAGACATCATCAGAATATATAGCTCAGCCTAAGCTTTCAATCCATGCCTGGCTGTTCCAGGATTTCCTGAAGAACCTCCATGTAGCTACCCTAAGTTGCCTCTGAAGAGAGGGCCCTGTCACCTCTCAGGTCCTGGTAGAATTAACAAGCAGGGTCCACTGAGTCTGATGCTAAGAACAAAGACAGATTCCCTGCATAACTGCAATTGCTGTTAGCATCTGGATATACCTTGAATTTAATATCAAATGGTCAACAGATGGAGAAACTTGCTAAACAAATGAGAAGTGTGCTTCATGTTCTGACAATCTAAATGACTGTTATAATGATAGAAGGAAAATAAATGCTCAAAGCTTATATTTATTTTTGTTAATTTAATACTATCTAAACATGAATTGCACTGTAAGTTTAATAACGCCAAAACGTATTTACCATGCATTCATCTGTAAGCACCTTTGGTTCAAGTAGTGTATTTGCTTCAAACATTTGACCATTCCAGCCTTTGAAGTGAACAGATGTTTTCTGAGCATCTGCCTCATTTGTTCCCCACACTGGGGTGTTCAGACAGTGAACTGTGATGGTATGGGTTGCTTCTGAGCTCAGTAAATGAAGAAAGTTCATCTGCACTTTTCCAACTCCAAACTCCAACTAGTTTACAAAAATGCATTGTTAGACATAACAGTTGTATCATGCTCAATGGCCAACAATCAGAAAGATTTTGGCAATATAAATTTGGCACTTATAGGAGATATTAACTGTATCAGTTAATTTGGTTGACAAACCAAAATGCATGTGTCTCCTGCTTTCTTCAGAAGACGTGTCAGGTATATAGAAAAGTGGAATGCCATAATCATCATAATGAATGCATACAATTGTATACAAGCCTATACGGTATAGACATTTGTATAACTTACATTTTCAAAGCTTGTTATAAAAGTAATTAATTCTCAGTACACCGCTGAAATGTAGGTAGGTAGATATCCTTATTTTGCAGATAGGAAACTGATTCAAAGAACAGTTAACTGATTCAAAGAAAGACATGCACAGAAAGAAGTGACAGAGTTTGGATCAGAGTTCAGAAGTTCTTTGCTCCCGGTCTTGTTTTTAGTCCATTATATTGCTCTGCCTCTCAACACCTAGATTTTATTAATAACCTGAGATATTGCAAGACAGAGAGAGGCGATATACATTGAGCTATATATGGAAAATGTATTTTTTTCTTGCATTATTCTTAATACATATTTGCAAGAACAAGTATATATAGAGGGCCAACCCATGCCGCCTAAGTCTGTACACACAGGAGACCCTCTGTGCACAGATCTCACCCCTCCCAATCAGAGAGATGTGTGAGTTGCCTGTGCTGCACCATCCTCCAGGACTTGTGAAGGATTCTCCCCAGGATTGGAATCCGCCTAGAGGAGAGAGAGCAGGGACTGGGCAGTTAGTAGATGGTGTATGCTAGGTGAGGACTAAGCCTTGAAAATATAATACATTTCTGTGGAGTCCTCCATAGTGGGAAAATGTCCTTGAAGAGGGATACTGGGGGAAGCAGTGGCTAGGGGTTCTCTTGCTCATGTGGATCCAGTGGAACTGTGCTGATTGGCAGAGAGAATAGGATGTTCTGGAGATACAGTTGGCATAAAGGGCACAGGTGCTCCACAAAGACAGCATCCCAGAGGGATCTATGGAGTATGGGGCAGAACCATGGCTCATTCTATTAGAATGGGAAGCTCCCACCTGAATAACAATGTGGGAGAAATCCAATAAGGGCTTTTTCCTCCCATGGGCAATCTGGCCCACACCCCCACAGATGTGGTACAGTACAGTTTAGTTAAAGTACATAGGTAAAACTTCACAGAAAACCAAGTCCCCATTCCAAAAGGCTTTCAGTCTAAATGTAAATAGTTGTTAGGATGCATTTAGTGAAACAAAAGGAAAACCAGTTTGTACTGAATACTTTGGTTAAATGTTCAAGAGCAGTGACCCTTATGTCAATTCACATTTTAATGACAATTACAGTGCACAATACAGGGACAGGGCATTTTAAATATTATAGACAGATTAAAGAGAGGCCCATAAAGGTAGTCGCATAGAGACATATATGAAAAGAAACAGATAATCAAATGAAACAGAGGAACACAGATCTAATTTATGGTGAAATAAAGCTAGTTAGCACTGAGAAATCTGACATGCCAGCATACATTGGGTAAATCAGTGTTCACTTATTTAGAGTTTAAGCACAGAAATATATCCTAAAAGCAAAGCATACCTTTGTCACAGATACGGGTGATAGACATGTCTGGCCACCAGCAGTAAAGTTGCAGAAAACCTCAATGGCATCAGAAGGACATCCAATATTTGGGTCAATCCAGTATTTTCCTGTCAATTTATAATCCCAGATAGAAAGGTGTAAAAAGATATAACTGCTGTTAAACAATTTTCTGAATAAAATTGCCATAATTTTTGGCAAATGTTAGAAGTATTATTACTGCAGCTTAACCTCCTATGGCATCACTAAAGAACATAACAGACTAGCCTCCTTGGAGTTACTCTGGGTTTATGCCCAATGTAGGTGATCTGAATTTGGCACATAAAAATCTGATGGTAAGCCAAAGCCAAGCAAATAAATTTAAAAAAAAAATCCACAAAGCCTCCACATTACTGTAATGTTATCAATAACTATTCCCTGCTGTTTACCTTTTCTATGACTTTTGTACCAGTTTGGGATTTTCAACTCTATCCTTTGTTTCTGATACTAAATACTGAATGTGAGCAGGTGGCATTCCCACTCTGCTCCCAACAAAATCTATGCATGGCTATAGGTAGTCAAACGTACTCCTCTTCCTGGGATTTGGCTTTATTCAAATAACATCAAAAACATGAACATCAGCTTAAGTTTTCATCCCGAGCCTAGCTAGTTACTCCATGTCCCTGCCCTCAGTTCCCTCTGACCAGAGGTTCATTGGCAATTCTTACATCTTGGTGGAGTTAATAAGCAGTACCTGCTGCCATCATGAATTGGTACAAGTTATTCCGCAGCTTTATGCAGGGTTCTAACAGGATGGTCAGCAGAAAAGCCCAGCATTCGTATGCTGGATCATAGCTCCTGCCACCCTGTTACTCTGACAAAGGCATAATCGCTGCACAGCTAATCTATATTTGATGTACCGCACGTCTGATTTGTATTTGTGACCTGGTTTCTGTTTAATCCCCTCTTTCTTGTATTTTTTTGTAGTTTTATTTCTAATTGTGTTTTCTATTCTAGAGCAGTGGTT